AGAAGAGAAGAGAAGAGAAGAGAAGAGAAGAGAAGAGAAGAGAAGAGTTGGAAGGGACCTTGGAGGTCTTCTAGACCAACTCCCTGCTCAGGCACGAAACCCTATACCATTTCAGACAATGGTTGTCCAATATAATATTGTACTTTTACCAATCTAATACCGTAGTTTTTCTCAGGTAGATTGAACTGACCAGGATGATTTCAAATAACATGTTTAATTGTTAGCACTGAGGACTTTTGTTTTGGGTTATTTATTAGAGTGGTTATTTATAGGATTAATTGCTAAGAATGAATTCAGATAAGTTAACAAGAAGAATTCAGTTCATTTTGTCATATGCTTTTCAAAAATGCCTATTTGGAGAGATTTACCATTGCTTTCAATGTGAAGTGTGTTGTAATTAGCACTGTATCTCATTTGTGAGTAAATGGATGATCACCTCACATTATAGATGACATATTTGTATGGAGTTGTTATCCCATCTTGATGCAGGTGAAGGAGGAGAGTTCAAAAGTTGGCTTGAAACTCAACATTAAGAAAACTAAGATCATGGCATCCAACCCTCTCAATTCCTGGCAAATAGATGGGGAAGAAATGGAGGTAGTGACAGATTTTATTTTCCTGGGCTTCAAGATCACCACAGATGGGGACTACAACCAAGAAATTAAAAGACACTTGCTCCTGTAAAGGAAAACTATGGCAAACCTAGACAGCATACTAAAAAGCAGAGAAATCACCCTGCCAATAAAAGTGCAGATATTCACGGCAATGGTTTTCCCAATTGCAATGTATGGCCATGAAAGCTGGACCATAAGGAAGATTGAGCGTCAAAGAATTGAAGCCTTTGAACTGTGGTGCTGGAGAAGACGTGCGATCCCTTGGACTGCAAAGCAATCAAACCGGTCAGTCCTAGAGATGATCAACCCTGACTGCTCTTTAGAAGGCCAGATCCTGAAGATGAAACTCAAATACATTGGCCACCTAATGAGAAGGAAGGACTCACTGTAGAAGAACCTAATTCTGGGAACAATTGAGGGCAAAAGAAGAATAGGATGACAGAGAATGAGGTGACTGGATGGAGTCACTGAATTCGTTGGCATGAGCTTAAATAGACTCCGGGGATAGTAGAGGACAGGAAGGCCTGGAAGAACATTGTCCATGGGGTCGCGATGGGTTGGACACGACTTTGTGACTAACAACAACAACAAATTATCCCATTAAAATTACATTCATAAATGCAGCTTAATCATCACATCTATTTGTAGAGGTAGTTTCAAATGTCTGAATGTCTTAACTAAATTCCATATATTATGGTAGATCAGGATAATTTTTGTGATTTTCACATTAATTAGAGAACAAGTTAAAGATGCAAGGACTAGCAAGCTAGTGTGGAAGCTATTTTGGGGCATATTTCTGTAAAGACATAAAACTCTTTAAAGCATCATAAGATCAAATTTACTAAAAAAGCAAAACAGAACAAAATGACCTGGAAGAAAAAAATATCATATAATAGCTCTTACCCTCATATTCTGGTTTTACTAGATCAAGCATTTGGCACAACAGGTCATGGAAGGGCAACGGCTCAATGCCCATAGATTCCATCCTCTCACACTGTTCTTCATAAAAATACTCAAGTTCATACATTGATAGTGTGCCATCCCCATCTAAATCCATGCATCGGAACCAATACTCAATACTACAAAACAAAGATAAATCAAGATGCATTTTTACAATATGGCAGCAGGTAACAAGAGTTTTTGGGATGACTTTCATGTACATAGTACACAATAAAGCTTTGCCTGGACTTTCCCATATGACTGGTTGCACTAGAAATGTTATCTTGTTCGGACAAAGTACTATGATACATAATATCCTCAATTGTTCAGTAGAAAATTCTGTTTTCTTTTCCTATCCTAAACCTGACTTTCAGTATCTTTGAGAGAGTTTTGGGTGGAAAGATGTTTTATTTTTAGCAGCTTGATAAAAGTTTTATATGACAAAAACAACACGCAGAGCCAGGGGTGGGATTCAAAATTTTTAACAACTGGTTCTGTGGGTGTGGCTTAGGTGGTGGGTGTGGCTTAGCAGTCATGTGACTGGGTGGACATGGCTTAGTGGTCATGTTATTAGGCTGGGTGTGGCCATCTCAATATCACTCACATTGAGGCACGCATCTCCTCGCCTGGCCTCTCATGACTGTGGGGATGCTACAACAGTCGTAAATATGAAAAATGGTCAAAAGTCACTTTTTTCAGTGCCATTGTAACTTTAAATGGTCACTCCACACAAGCAAAGTACCAGCAAAGGAGGGGAAAAAAACTCCAGAGACCTTCCTGAGACAGGAAGTCCAGTCCTGCCAAGAATGTAATAAGGGTTAACAGAGAGGCAGTTTCTGTAAGCAACCCTAGAATGTTTCCTTCCTGCCTTCCTTACAGGATTAGGCCAGTAATTTCTTCTAACAACTGGTTCTCTGAACTGCTTAGAATGTTAACAACTGGTTCTAGCGAATAGGTGCGAACTGGTAGAATCCCACCCCTGCGCAGAGCATTAGAATATATAACTTGGAAGAAGGCTTTAGTAATAAAGATAATTTTTACAATACAAGACTCTGTTGTAGGTAAATTCTTTCCTATTTAAAGCTCTTGTCATGTTAATTTTGTGTCTGGTAGTCAGTGAAGCTGGAGAGGCATGGAAGGTAGGTGTATTCTGTGTTTCTTTTATCTTTTGCACCAGTTCAAGAGTAAACTCACACAATGTACAATAAACTAAGCAAGAAATTAGCTACATACAGAAAATAGTTATCACATACTGTTTATATTTTATATATTTATTTTACCTTGTGAGGCATCTTTTGTCTTCTTCTGAGATCAGAAACCACACAAAGTCTGCATAGCTCATCTGGTTTTCTTTTTGTTCTTGACTTCCTCTAAAATATATAAAAATACATAGTTAATTCCTTAATTAAAAAATAACCAGGGACAAATTTTTAAAAATCACAGAGCAATTTGAAAGAGATAAAAGACAAAATTTCTATCCCTAAAATGTATTAAGGTTATCCATTATCTAATTCCTGAAAAAGTAATGTTTTATTAACCTGAAGACAGATTTGGAATCTTATCCTAATATTACTAACATGACAACTTTGAAATCAGGATTCTGGGTTGACTTTTAGTGCAATAATTGTGAGAACTGCCTTTGAAGAATCTTCTTCTGATGAGGCATTAATGCCTTTTCACAACCAAGAATGTGAATTGAAACCTATTAGGGAACAGTTAGTGGTGAATGCTTCTCAAAGAGGAGAGAAAACTATGGTAGAGTAGCTATTTGTAACCGTGACCCGCCCCCTCAAAACCCTAAGTAATTTAAACCAAAATTCAAAATTCAATTTTTTGAAATGTTACCATCTTACCTTTATGTTACTACTTACCTAAGAACAGCTCCAGTGAATATTCTTTCTATAATTCTGCTTGACAAAGCTGTAAATTAAAAAAAACAAAAGTGTGAGGGGTAGACTGATCGGGAGGCAGCTATGTAAAAGTTACCTACCTAAAGCTCACATTTTATTGATAAAAGATCTGACTCCTTGCTAGAACATAGAAAAACCACTGGAAAGGAGTTACAAAAGTACCACCCAAAGGTCCAAGAATTCAAATAGATTCCTATGAAAAATAGTTTCATTGCTGAAATTCTTGTAACCTAATCCATTCACTTCAATAAATCTTGTTTAGAAGGCTCTGCTTGAGAAACAGATTACTGTTTGAATTAACCAGAGCAGGGTGTCAATCTAGCAGCTTGCAGGTCAGATGCTTCACATGCATGCCAAGCCCACTCTGCAAAGGCAAAAAAGCGTTGCAATATATTGCGATACATCACATGACACGATCAAGTTTGATATAGTTAGGAACGTTTATCTCATTGTAAAAATAAGACATATAAGACTACTACATGCATGCAACAACATCCAATTATATGCAAAGTTCAACATCAGTGTTATCATTATGCATTTTCCTAGATACAGGTTGTCATCAAGCTACGACCAAAATGGAGTCTGTCCATTACAGTTGCAAGTGGTAACAACCATAAAGCGAGACAGTCTAGCTTAACAATTTATTCTCTCTGACGCTACTGTTAAAAGAATGCACAGGTCATTAAGCAAGCATTCAGAGGTGGGGGGAGGCCCTGGGAAGCTCTCCACTCAGCTGGGTCCATAAAGCAGGCAGACAAGCAGCAAAAAGTTTTCCATAGCCCAAACCAGCTCAATGTGGGGGGAGAGGGGAGTGGGAGGAAGAGCCTAGCTAGATCAAGGCCCAATGTCATGTTCCAATGCCAGAGAGGGTTCCAAATAAGCTTCTGTGTTTGCCTGATGAAGCCAAGTTGTGGGCTGGGCCTCTGCCCCAATCAGCCAGCTATCAAATAACTGCAAACCTCTCCTGGCTCTTGTTAGCCTTTGAGGAAGCCAGGAGAGGTTTGCAATCTCCTGATGTCCAGCTGATCAGGCAGAAAGCTCGGAAAGCAGCTGCCGTTTCTGCAATGAATTATTTGAGTGGTGAAAATGATGGCTGCTTCCAGAAGGCATGGGGAGCAGATCCAAATGCCGTGGGGTACTATCATGGTGGGGATGGTGGGGAAAGAGATGCAGGGAGGCACTATAGTGTCGATGTGAGGGCAAATGATCCAGGGAGCGCTGCAGCCATTGTAAGTTTGAAACAGAGTTGCATGTAACTTTTGGGAGGGTCTGTCATAACTTCGAACACCATTAAATGACTTGTTATATCTTGAGAACTACCTGTATACTACATATATTGATATGTCTTTACTACACATCAATTTATTAAGATTATTTTAGGTTTGAATTCCTTTCAGTCATTATTTCAATCTTTTAATGCAATAATACTTTTTAATATGTAGAGGAGCCATTGGGATAAATCCATACAGTATGTGATGAATTTGAAATGTACAGTCAAATATTAAATTGTGAACTTTTGCATGCTTCCATTAACTCTAGGATAAAAGCAAATTTTCCAGGTAAAAATTAGCATTATTACAAGATTTGAGAATAATGAAGAAGTTTGGATTTAGTTTCTGTTTATGATTATTTTCATTTTCAACTATCTGTCTGTCATGCCCCGGAGGAGACTGACTCTGAGGAAGAGGAGGAACAGCCAACAGGGAGTGGGAGTGTGGCTCCAGAGGTGGTGGAGGAGGCTGGGGAAGGGCAGAGGCTGGCTGAGCAATCAGAGGAGGATCCAGGCCCATCCCCTATCCATCCTAGGTCACGCAGGGAGGAGAGGATCAGGGAAAAGCAAGGTCTACTCAAGAGGAGATTACCATGATCCTCCTTGTGGCTTGCAGGTGGGAGCTATGTATATAAGTTTGCAACTGTGCAGTTAGAATTTGCAGGAGTCAATTTAGTGTTCACCTTGAAAGAGGTTTATCTTTGCTGGCGTTCTTCCCATGGACTTTTCTCAGTTATTTTCCTGGAGTTTATGATTAGTTATCTTGGGTTGCTTCGGAACTCTCATCAATGCAGTTTGTTTTGGTTTTCTTTTTGCCTCATTATTTACTTTTGTGACTTTAAACTGTGCCTAATAAAACAGTGAAGTTAAGTTGAAGGCCTTACCGGACTTTAATATATGTTTTGGGTTTTGGGTTATTTTGAGAGACTACGAATCATCACACTATCTTGCTTTGCAATGTTATGGCAAACACATAATTTTGTTTAACTATTTGCTTTGAGCTTCCCTTTATATCAGGCATCTCAAACTGGCAGTGTCATGGCGTCATCACGTGATGTATTGCGACTTTTGTCCTGTTTGCTAAACTGGGTGTGGGCGTGGCCAGCACATGACACATCCAGCCCACAGGCCGTGAGTTTGACAATTCTGCTTTATATACTTTGCAGTGACAATCCATATACAAGGATTGTTTTCCTATAAGCCAGTTCTGAATGACAGTTAATGACTAAAAAATAGGAAGTTATATAGGAAAAGGAGTAAAAAAATGGAGGAAGTTACATTTGGAAATGAATTCCCATAAGGATTGTGTGTCTATCTAAAAGCACACACATACACACACACACATGAACGAAAGCATAGTATATTTATAATAATGTGTTCTTTTGCATTTGCATTTCCTTACCTTGATCATTGTATCTAGCCAAATCACTCTGATTGATATAGAGATCGTGATCAGTGTCCAATTCCCAGAATTTACAATAAATAACATAGAAGTGCTCATAGGAAAAATAATCAGTTATTTGATTAATGTCTTCTTCTTCTTCTAAGAGAGCTAGAGTCTGAAAAGATAAGAATGGATTAATTCGACATAATAAGATGTTAGGAAAGTACCAGGAACCTGGTATATTTAACAGAAGCCTACATTTTTATTTAATTCTGCCAATACTAGATAGAAGAATTCTAGTAACCAGTAACAGATTACTAGAATTTTCCTATCTAGTATGTCTACTTACTAGACATACTCTTAGTAGAGTATGTCTACTCTAGTATTCCCCTCTTATTTAAAATAAGCCTATCTTCCCAGAATGCATAACAATTTTATTACTAACTGAATTGCAAAATACACTGAATATTTTGTGAGAATAAAAATATTTTAAAATACAATATTGTTCATATGGATGCAAAAAATTAACATACTTGCAGAAAGTTGCTTTTCTTCAGCTCTATTAATGATATTTTTCTAGACCATGATCTATTCACTATGTAAAATATTCTTTGAATAACCTGGAAAAAGATTAAATATACACGTCAAAACCACTGGCAAATTAAAGATTAAATGCATCATCATCACAGTTGTATAGATCTATGTTCTTTTTTGTTTAATCAGAAAAAAAACAGAAAATTCATAAGTTGGAAAGGGCCATCAAGTCATAGAATCATGGGTCTGGAAGAGATCTTGGAGATGTTCTAGTCCAACCTGCTGTCCAAAGCAGGAGCTCTTATACCATCCCAGAGGAATGGTTGTTGTTTTCTTGAAAACCTCCAACAATGGAGCACCCACAATTCTGGCAGGCAAGCAGTGCCATCGATTAAGCATTCTGTCAGGAAGTTACTCCTTATTTCCGTGTTGGATCTCCCTCTAATGAGCTTCTATCCATCACTTCTTGTTCTGCCCTCAGGTGCTCTAGAGAATAAATCCACCTCATCTTCTCTATAACAGCCCTGTCCAATACTTTGAGCAATTTAGAAATCCAAATTAATATAGCTATAACAGATGGCTATCTGAATGCACCCAGTGAAGGGAAATCCGCAACTGATCTAAGTTAACTGATTCCGTATCAAACCATTAATCAGAATTTACACTACTATGCAGTCCTGTGCAAATAAAACTTTCAAACCCAGTCCCAGCAAATTCCCTACGAGGCCTGATCCAATCACAGTGACGTAGACAGTCCATCATTTATATAGGTTTAGTGATATCAGAGCCTTAAAAATAAGAACTGGCCATTTGAGCACTGGGAAATTCTGGGAATTGAACTACACATCTCTTTACAGTTGCCAAGGCTGAGAAACACTGCTATATTAATTGCATTCAGTTAAATTCCTTTCATAAGTACACTGGAAAGGAAAACAAGGTAACTATTTCTATAACGTTGTTTAAAAAATGATATGGAATCCTATATGCAGCCACAAAGAACAATTTTACGAATTTATTATAATTGTGAAGAACTGAGCAAAGTTTGTAAAAAAAAAAAAAGCAAACCAGATATAAAAGATAAGGAAGAATTAAATAGTTGAAACAAATCAATGCCAAATAGCCAACCTGAAACTTGGCATAGAGAAATGCTAACATTATACATGTAGCCAACATACCGTAGTAATGTAGCGGGAATGAAATTCCGGGGCATCCTTTAGAAATGTCAATCCTGGATGAGTTTCAACTATATCCTGAAATATACCAGCATTATTAAATATTTTAAAAAAACCGGCATAAACTTTTAAATTAACATAGTACCTAAAGGGAAAAAGTAAAATAAACATTTATCACACGATAAGCCGTGCTAACTTGCTCTAACTATGAAGAAACAAGAAAAGGAGGGATGTTGGACTTTCCCTACTTTTTTATCACACCACTGAATCAGTGGTGGGATTCAAAAAAATTTTACTACTAGTTCTATAGGCATGGCTTGGTGGGTGTAGTGTGGCTTGGTGGGCATGGCAGGGGAAGGATACTGCAAAATCTCCTTTCCCTCCCCACCTCACTAACCTGCTTTCCAGCTCTGTTCTCCTGTGCAGGGCAACAAAAGGAGACCCAGCCAATCAGCTGGGATTTGGGAGGTGGAGAATAGATGGGGGCAGGGCCAACCAGAGGTAGCATTTGCCGGTTCTCCAAACTACTCAAAATTTCTGCTACCAGTTCTCCAGAACTGGTCAGAACCTGCTGAATACCACCCCTGCACTGAATCATAGAATCTTGGCTTTGGAAGGGCCCAAACAGGCTAACAAACACAATTCCCCGAAGACTCCAAATGTGCAGAATCATGGACACTGTATCCTGCCTTCAGCTGAATTGAAGGGGAGTTATCTCAGTAATTGGTTCTACTATCAAACTATTTTTATTATTAGGAAGTTTAAGGCTGGAATTTAAAGGACTGTGGTCAAACATACCTGCAGTATTGGGATGAAATCTTCTTGTTCCAGATAGTTACAGTTAGGTTTTGCTAAAAGGCAAATAAATTTTGATGCATCATCATGACAGTTGTGTAGAATCCTATGAAGAAGAAGTAAACTGTGTAAGAGCATTCCGGTCAATCCAAAAAGGAAAAACATTTTATGATTTCAGCCTCATTTAGCATTGCCCAATCTTGGCATTTTTCAGAAATGGACAGATTTGGGGAATTCTAGAACCTAAAGTCTATAAATCCAGAAGACTGTCAAACTGAGCAAGGTTGCTATAAACTGGCATCTATAATATAGAGCTAAAGCTACATGTTATATTCAAAAAATTCTGCCTTTAAGTGCAAGGTTATTGTTGTTTCATATATGACAATAATGATAAAGATTACATAAATAACTAGGCCATAATAAAGTATAAATCTAGCTATATCTATATATTTTATGTGCACATATGCATGTATGTCAGCCCCACTATTTAGTCCAAATCAAAAAATCAACTTGACACAAAGTAGAAACTACTGTTATTAATATTGGCTATAAAAACAGAAACTTGCAAGTCTGATAGGACTTTCCCCAACCCTTTCCCCCAAATACTATTGTGAATTAGAAAAGCTTCTACCTGAGTCTTTTGAACATGCCTTCTTCTTATTTTGGACTTAAGCCATGTTTTCCCCCTGTTGCTTTGGTAACAGATCTGGCCTATCTCCATCCTCCTCCTAACTTCCTACAAAATGTGAATATGTACAGTATGTAGTCTACCTCCTTTCCTTCCTTTTTTGATTCAATAAAAAGCTGCCACAGGTGGGGAATTGGACGGACACACGCACACACACACACACACACACACTCAATCTCATGGGGAAAAAGCCTAATTAAAAAGAATAAAACAACTTCTAGTGAAATAATGCCAGTTGAGGGCTAGTGCTTTATGAAGAATTTTTTTGAATGGTGTCTAAGTGGTATGTAAACAGTGGTGTGTGTAAATGGTTGTAAACATTCAAAAGAGGCAATAAAAAGCCAAGAAGGAAATAACCCTTAACATAAGACAAGCAGAAAACAATACCCTAATCAAGGATTACCTAACCCCCCCCCCTCCAAATGAACAGCGGCTTAACAAGCTACTATATATAAATACGGAGAAAACTCCACATTCACTAGCAGTGGTATCGTTACATAGTTGGATAATGAAATATTAGCAAACAAACAAGGTTGAAGAGAATAAATGACTCCAGAGTACACAAGATCATGGAATCAAAATGTATATTTTTGTCTTTAAAATGTCTAATAATCTACATTTCTTTGATTCAGAAATTGATATGCTGCCCTTTAAAACTGGATTTGTCAATGCAATATATAATCAAACAACTTCAAAATGATAAATTATAACACTAACTTTTTAAAAACCACTAAAAAATTTGAAAATGCTGGAACAATTATCAAAACAATGTTAAAAAAATCATATAGGAGTTTTCTGCTTTCATGTAGGATAAATCATCTACCAATAACTGAAAAACATTGCCTTTTGTACATTATAACTGTAAATGTGAATGGTTGCTGTCCAAGGCAGTTGCTAAATGAAGACTACCTGTAAACAATTATGATTTCTGGTATGTTAAAATCTGATTCACTTAAAAAAGTAAAATCAGTTTTCTTTGCCCTACATGCCCTGGATAGATCAAATAATATCTCCAGGGAACAAAAACATAGTTTTCTAAGTTTGATAGCTCAGTCCTTTTTCTACCCTCTAATTTCATGCTGCTTTATCTGAACTAGAAGAAAATTCTTTTGCAACATGCAGCTTTACAGATGTTGCAGACATTTTGTTTTCCCACTGATGGGAACTTTCATCTCGCTATTTTAGAACCATCTCTCATTTACTAATATTTCAGCTTCCTCTCATAACAACTACCCAGATTTGCTTTGCATATAGAAGAAAGATGTCATACTGTGAATCCAGAATGGAGACAACAATTTTATTTATTTATTTGCATCCTGCCCTTATTATATTTACAAATAACTCAAGGCAGCAAACATGTCCATCTTCCTCCTCCTTTTTTCTTCACAGAAACAACCCTGTGAGATGAGTTGAGCTGAGAGAGAGTGACTGATCCAAAATCACGCGGCTGGCTTTCATGGCTAAGGCAGGACATGAACTCACAATCTCCCACTTTCTAAGCTGGTACGTTAACCAGTAGACCAAACTTCTTCCCACTTAATTTGTGAAGTGAGAATAAAGCACATTTCCCCCTCTGAAATGTGCAAAAATTTCAGCAAAGTCCTCACTGAATTATATTTTCTTCTACAAGGATTTGGCATTATGAAATCAATGGATGTAAAAGTGGTGTCTATTGACCTTAAACTACTTTCAAGCAGCATGGAGTTGTCTTAGACAGTGCTGGAAAACACTGCTGTTTTCCCAGGCAGAAAAAACAACAATGAGATTAGAAGCCCCATGGGAAATAGATGTTGAAAGCAGAGTAAGGTAGGTGTTGGGTGAAAGGAACATAGATCTGGGAGAGGGAGTGGCTGGATTGCAGAAGGTTGTTGAGAGAGTTGGGAAAAACCGTGCTGAAATGTAGAATCCCAGCAGAAGGATTGAAGAGGAAGGACTGAGGACCCCAACGGGGAAAGTGGAAGAATCTCAGCCGAAAGGTTGGAGTAGGTGAGAGATGGTTTAGGAAACCTCATCAGGGTAAGTTAGGGAATCCTGTTAAATATAATAGATAAAACAGACAAGGAAGTAGAAAGAATTTCATACACTCATAAATACATAGAAAAAGGGAGCATTCTATTTGCATATAATTATCATGGCAACTAGCAGTAGTACCCTAGACATGCCTTCAAAATTATAAATACCTAGGGCACAAATAAGTTGGAGATCCCTGTTTTAAGAGAATATTTTTACACTTGCTCACTTTCTCCACATGGCCACAAATGAATGTACAGATACAAATCCTGTCTGTTCTCCTCCAGATGCATTGAACATGGGAGCTTTCCAGTATAGGGGACAGCCACATATCTGTAAAAAGCATAAAACAAAATATTGTTAATATCCAGGAAAAGACATTATTTTTCTCTAGGCATTTTATTAAAACATGTTGGAAAATAAAACCCAGGCAACCGATATGCAGTGTGCTATATGATTGAGTTCAATCTTACAGACTTATTGCTTAATTTATGGTTTTATTATTTGAATTATTATTTAAACTTTTTATGAAAATTATATTAAAATTCATTTAGAAAATTTTACCTATGGTGAAGATGATAAATCTAGGGATGTTATCCTGTTGTTTTTAATGTATAGGTTGTTTTATATATACTGCCCAAAAGTACCTTTCATCTAGAACAGTGATCTCCAACTGGTGGGCCACAGAGAAAATTTTAGTGGGCTGCAGAGAAATCTCACCCCCAGAGCACCCCCACAAAGCAATTAATCCAGGCTGCGCAGAAACACAAGGATGCACGGCCACATGGCCCATGGGAACCCTCCCCGCCCACTCACTCCTTACCCGGTAAACTTGCTTGCTAAATTGTTATTTTTCTTTTTTCCAACCATCATCTGTTCTGCTCTGCTGGGAGATTTAGATTAGCTAGGAAGCAGGAAATGGTTGGATTTCTTTCTTTCTAGCTAGTCTTCAGATCTTTGGCTCAGCACAGCCAAACCTCCCTTAGGACTGAAGGTTTGCTTGCAAGCAAATTAAGTACAGACTCACGGCAAGCAAATTTGAGAGGCTGAGCTAGCCGATGGCAGAGAGATAGATCACTGAATGATTCTGTGAGCAACTCAATCTGCCTGCTTTGCCTGATTTTGGGTAAAAGTTGCTCTTTAAAAAAAAAAAAAATCAATGTTTACATGCATGGTGTGTTGTGAGCTAATTTTGTGAGTTTTCTTGCTAGCAAATTTTATGTGACAGAATGAGCTAGCCAATGGCAGATAGATCGATCTCTGAATGAATCTGTGATTCTGTGAGCAGCTCAATCTGCCTGCTTTGCCTGATTTTGGGTAAAAGTTTCTCTTTTTTATAAAAAAAATCAATATTTATATAAATATTTATAATATTTACATACAAGCCATGCCCAGCCAGTCACATGACCAAGCCACACCCACAAACTATGCCACACCCACAGAACCAGTTAGTGGTCCCTGGAATCTAAAATTATGAGTTTGGTGATCCTGAGGTCCAAAAGGTTGGCGACCCCTGACCTAGAAGATATTGCTTCCCTGATAATTCTCCAGTTCTAAGCTAAACCTATGATGTTCAGATTTTTCTTAGTCTAAACAAAGGATCTTCTAGTGTTTACTCAATGACCAACACTTCTTGTTCTGATGTGAGTTTATGTCATTATTGGATACCAGAATTTGCATTCATTCATGGCTTCATGCCATAAACACAAAATTAAAATATGCTTCATCCAAAACCTTCCTTATTCTTTAATAAATTATTATTTTTAGTTATATTATAAAAGAGATTCCAGCTTTGAATACTCCATAAATTCAAAAGATAATTATGCTTACTTTTATAATTTTCCCCATTTCATTATAGGGAACTTTCTTATCTTCAAATTCTGAAAAGGCTGCTTCAACTTTTGTAATAATTTCATCATGATTATTGCAGATATTCGGAAGTCCATAGGGAAAATAGAAAGTTGGAATGTTTATGGACAAGGGAGCACCAACAGTTTCTTTATTTGTAGACAGTAGAGACTGTGGGGTGATTGTTGAATTTGTAGGAGTTAGAGATGGTGTCACCGGTTTTTTATCTTGCTTATTTTGGACCTAAAAGTTAATAAAATTACAATTTTTATGCAATAAAATTTGAACAAAGAAGGTACAAAAATAGTTTTTCCAATAAACAAAACAAAGTTACAATAAAAAAAAACCAACAAGCTGTGTATATACAGAACAGTCTTATTTCTCAAAAAAGTACAACAGTATTAAAACATTTTGAAATTTTTGGTATCAATTGACAATTCATCCTATATGATTAAATACTTGAGCTGTATATACTGCAATTCTTGTAAACGCTGCATTTATTGTACTGCCACTGTACAGTATATTTTAAAAACATTCTTATAGAAGCACTTCTTCCTTTTTACAGCTCCCTGCTACTTATGTCTTTATGGTGTGTTTTGTCCATGCCCTTGTTTCCTTTACTTTTCCCCATAAGGGGTAGTGCAAGGGGTTAGTTTTCTTTGACATTTATTTTGAACCATTTTACACTGTTTATACTGTTAAATCTTTTCAGTTTTTTTTAATTGAATATTATTTGGGAACAACTTCAATCTCCTTAGTCACCTTACTTTTAATAGTCAGCATTTGTTCCCCCATACATTTGAAATGTGGTACAAAATGTATATGTTATTATCAATGTGTGAAAAAAGGCATTTTATAGAAATCCATAGAGTGCCAGAAATGGGACATCAAAATATAAAATAATTAATTTTTCACACATTTGTTAGACAATGGCAATAGACAAACTGGCAAAGTATTAAAAACTCCCACAAAAATATGATTCTAGCCTTTCTTGTTGCAACATGTAGGTCAATACTGGCGTTTTTTTCTCTTATATTTTTCAGTAAGAAAATCTTGTATTTTATTTTGCATCTTTTCTTTCATTTTCATATACATCTTTTCAATAAAGGGTTAGGTTCCTAATCCTAACCTTAACTCTAACCCTTTTCATGACTCGCTTTTCATACTTTGCCTAAATAGTTCTTATCATTCTATACAATGCCTAGGTATTATATATAATGCCAAGGGAAAGTATATATTAAAATAATACATACATTTCATACTTTGCCTAAAAATGTCACACATTTAATAGATTTCTTACACATTCTATACAGTTCTACTTTGTCACACATTGCTGGTAACATATACAATACATGGAAATGCTCAGAACCATTTGTTTTTTAAAAAAACAAACAGAAGTCAATTTGTTACCATGTTCTACTAATAATATTTATTTATTTTAACATTTTCACCTTCAAGAAGAAAATACCAAAAGGAAAAAAAAAATACCTGTTTCCTTTTATTTACCAACAAGGTATTTATGTACTAAGCTTGGAAGACCTATTTTTAAACCAATAGGTATCTGGCCCAAATAACCTTCTGAAAATAGAGAAGCCTAAGCAAAGAAACCACTCCAACTACTGATCTAAAACAGAGATAACAAATTAGAAGAAAAAGTAAAGCACATTCAAACCTGGGCTTGCTGGAATGACTTCAACCTCTTCTTGAACCGTGATGGAAGAACAAAATCACAGCCTTTTGCAAGGAAAGCTAACTCTCCTCGTAAATCAGGATCCCTTCGCAGAGATCTATCCTTGATCATCATATTTGTTACTTCCTCAGAAAATTATTCTTCCCAGCACAGATGTAAAGTCCTTTTGAGGTATCACTTCAACTATTTTCTTGATTTGATTGTATGAGAGGGGGCAGGGGTTCAAGAAGTTCTAAGTGAAACATACCTTGTCTTTTTATTCTCAGAAAGAATTGCCTATATCTCATCCCAAGGCCAGTGGACTCTCTTTTTTGATATTCAAAGAATCCCTAAGCACAAAGATCTCTGGATGCCTTTTACCAATTATTTATCAAGAAGTATAATCTACAACCAGAATCTGTGCCTGCTGGCTACATGACAGTGAGACAATCTGTCCTTGGCTGGTAATAGAGCAGAGGTATTGTGGGAAGAGAGGCACCCACCCCACTACTAGCAGTGGTGCTAAAGTTAGATTTATTGCAGCAGTAGCTAAATATATCACCTTCCAAGGTACGTATGTTATGATGTTCTATGGTGAAATTTTAGATGCAAATTTAGCTACCAATCTCAACTGAAATCAAAACCATAATCCTTAGATGCCACCATAACAGCACAGATTTTTCTGGTTAGAGTAAAAAAATTGAAGTCTCTTTTAGTTTTTAGTTTTCATGTGGTAAAAAATACAGCTTCCTTCTGTCCAAAGAAGATATAATTATTATATGGTAGCTATTATGCTGTTAAATATTTTCCTTACATTTTTAGAGATAAGACAAGAACACTTTAAAATAGACCTCTTTCCTAGTAGGATCAGAACTTTTAAAAAGTGTGCTTTTTAAATTAGATTAAGAATGGAGCTACCAAAATTGGTACACTATTTAAAACCCAGAAAATGTATTTAATTTCATGTAGGAACAAAAAAAAAAAACTGATTTGCAAATTGCCATCCTTTGATATCCTAGATATAAATGAAATCTTGATTTAACAGACCTATTGGAGGGAGAGGTAGACATATTTGGGCCTTTGGGGGAAGTATTAAAACTGATTTTAGTTCTCATGAAAAACAGACATATTGGAAAAATTATCATTTAAAAATGGCAGGAACTTTTTTTTTCTTTTTCCTTTTGAAAATTTGGATTGAAAATGGGATAATTAATAATTCTTTCAACCAACCATTATGTAAAAGTGGAAGTGAAATGAATATAAGCACTTTTATTCTAAAAGTGTCATTCAAATCATTAACAGCAGTTTTACCTGTGCTTTAATTTTATTCTTAAATTTACTTAAATTTATTGGCCTCTCAACTCCAGTGAATTCTGGGTGGTTTTCACACATGACAAGCTATTTTTGTATTGTGCACAAGAAATTTTAAATCTACAGTAAAGAGTAAAACATTCAATGACATTCAATTTAAATAATTTTCTATGTTACAGTATTTCCATGGAGCAGTATTTTTATACGAATGGGCTCAACTGTTAAGTGAAAAAAATCACATAATCTTACCTTGATAACCTCTGGCATCTGTTGAATTAATGGCGACACGGGTTTTTTCTTCACTGTATCTATGTAGCTCTGCTTGTCAACTGTGGTGGAAGGTGTGGCTAAAGTTTCCTGAAGAATATGCATCACTTCTTTCTCTTTTGATAGGCTTCCTTTGCCCAATTGGAATTCTACTAGTTCTTGGGCAAAGTCTTCAATACTCCCCAAAATACGCAATAAAAGAGTTTTGTCATCTTCATCCATTTTATGACCATTGATTTCTACAAGTTTTGATAAGGAAGAAGACACACTTTTGTCTTCAGAAAAACAATCTTTGCCTTTGTCTTCACTGGTTAAATCACTACTTTTCAAATATCTAGAATCAGTCTGCTCCACCGTAGTTTCTCTCAGTGTAATTTCCATTTTTTGTGAAAAATTCTCCAAATCCAACAAAAGTTTATCTATCTCTTCTTGATTGTTTTTTCTAAGCTCTTCTTTAGAGACCTGAACATTATAGTTCAAGGTTTGATCAATGGAATCTGCTAAAATGGAGTGATCACCCTTTGATAGAGGCTCTGTAACATTATGTGAAGTTTTAGTAAGTTCTAAAGAAGGATTTAGCAATTCAGCTTGCTCCTGGCTGCTCTCTGAATCTCTACTTATTGTTCTACTCTGAACACTTGATGCACCTCCCCTTACTTTTTTTCCATCTGATTCTTCTACAATATATAGAGACTCTGTGGGAAAAACACAATCTGAAGGATTTTGAAATTGTAACTGAGGTAGTACATGAGAATCATTTCTAGAATCTATATTGTTCTGCAATGCATCTACACTAGGGATTTGGATAGGGTTGGTTGAGGAATCTGTATCATTATTATCCTGAATTCTCTTTAAGTTAGAGGGAAATGATTGCTTTGCTACAGATGATGCAGAAGTTACAACATCTTCATATCTTGGTGGTTGCTCATTGCCAAATATTGGGGAGAAATGAGATTGCTCCAAAGCAGACAAACAATTAATCAGTTCTACCATGTCACCAGGATGTCTAAATTCAAAAGGCAACTGTTTTAGGTAAGAGGAAAATCTTGTCATTAGATTCATATAGATTATTTCAGAATTGGCCAAGGACTCACTATTGTTTCCACTATTGACATTTCCTGAAGATTTCTTCTTAATGCATTGCTTTATTATATCTGTACACTTCTTCAAGTCCTCTGAGCATTTTAGCAAGATATCTAAGCACATCTTAATATCTCCACTGGAAGAACCATCCAGTTTGTGCTTTTCCAAAATTTGTGTTATAAAATTGCCATCAGGAAAAGTTTCTATAGGCAATGGAACTATAGAACTCCCACTTTCCTTAACCGAGGGGCTGCTGACATGCCATTTTTCTTCATGGGAACAATTATTTAGAACGCCATTAGGAGGGGACAAAATTTCATCACTGCTGAAAGATCCACTAATCAAGTCAAAATCTAGTGATCTTCTGCTGAATTGGTCTGACTTAACTTTTCTTCCTTTTCTATAGTTTGCCTGGTTTGAAGAATTTCTCAGTTTTTCAAATGAGAATTCTTTTATTTTTCCACTAGCAAGATTTATGGCTTCTTCAGTGATATCTTTTAGATTTCCACTGCTTTGAACAGAAGATCCTTTTTTTAGTTTTGGATTACTAGGAAGGAGCTGATGATAATCTTCATCCCCAGGCAAAGCAATGGAATTTTCAGGCATTGAAAATCTGTGGGTCAAATCTGAATTTCTAACATTAGGTGTAGAAACTTTAAGTAATTTTGCACAAACACTGTGGTGGGCCACTATGCACATAATTCCTTGTTTGAATACTTGACATGTCCCTGTGCAATAATGCACAACATTTTGAAGCTGATTATCTATTATAGCACTGCTGTAACAATTCACTGTTGTTATTACTCTTTTATAGCTTGCTGCCATAATCTGAATTTCAATTTATTGCACTCTGAAATGGCTTAAGAGAGCAATCAATTTGCCCCACTTTAAATCTCATATTCGTACATCAATAAACATTGAGGTGGTTGTGTTAAAAATGTAGTAAAATCAATGCATTGTCAAGAATCTGTATTAAAAGATTGCAGACAATAATCTACGAAAAATTTAAATGACCAATATAATGTATGATTGTCTTTTAGATAATAGTAAATATTTCCAGACTAAAAATGTTGTAGTGATGAACAATTGTTCTCTTCTCTAAATAACAATGTTAGAAGTAAAAATGAAGAACGTTAAATCCACTTGTTCAGAAAATGAGGGAAAAACTTTATCTTGAATGTTTTGTCCAAACTTTCTCTGAACTTCAGATTTCATGGAGAAAATAAAAGCATGTAATGTGGTCAAATGATCCACTTCCTTCATTGGCGGGGAAGATGCCTGCAATAATAAATGTTGTTAGTAAACAAATTTCAAGCCTAACTTTAGATACTCCTACTAACTTTAGATAACCATTGCAAGAGAAGGAGTGGCAGAACCCGGGGACAAAGTCAAAACAAGAATCAGTCTAGAATCTCTACCTGGCACAAACAGACCAAATCCAATTCCTCTTGAATTCTGTTGACCCTTATCTAGTGCCAAGATAATGCTACCAATTTATATCATTAATGGGAGAAATACATGTTTAAAAAATCTTCCATGTACTGTAACTGGAGTATATGGAGTATATGAAAAAAAGTATATGGAAAAAAGATTTTTTAAAATCTATTGCCTTTCTAATACAGATTTAATGATTGAAAACTACATTACTTGCTAATACTATCTGCTCTCCAATCAGATATCTTATACAAAGGCAACAGATAATAACCATTAAGCCATGTGGGTTACAAATAAAATAAATAGTAGATAAAACAAATAAATCAAATATACTTAAATTAGTTTAATAGCTAATAGCTATTGCACCTAGAGTTGAATTAATTTTAGTTTGTTTGCTAAATGAAGACGTGAAAATTACTCTTTTCTAAGATCCAGATTTCATTTCCCAGTCATGACAACTATTACTACCAACATCTACAGACAACCTGCTGCCTCAATGATTCAAGAGGTAGAGAGATTAATTTCTTGCCACTCCTCACCTTTTTAAGATGGAGGCTGAAAATGGCTTCTGAGCTCTTCTGAGCTGAGAAGGCAGACTGCTCCACTCACCTTATACCCAAAGGTATACTCCCTTTCTACCTAGAAAGCAACGAAAGAAGCTATCATTTCAGCTTCCTTCTGTACATAGAAACTATAACTGCCTTTTGCCTACAAATGAAATAGAGAACAATTGTTCCCCAAGTTTCACTGTAGAAAGATAAAAATAAGGGGTAAGGTTTTGGGGAGAGGGAAGTATCTCATTTGAGGCACCAGAGGGTTCCCGTAGGATTTACACATTTATCTAAGCTATATACAAAACAGTCAGGACAGGAAACAGCTGTCCTATAACTGCCCAGAATATCTGTAATTCTACAATTCTCTTCTCTGTAGAATCTCAGATTACACTTCTAAATGCTGTACTGGATTTCATATTTTCATAGATGACATTAGAATAAATCATTTAATTTAGCTTTTTCCACAGGCTGCACTGACTAATGCAAATATCAACTTTAATCCACAGTATACTGATAAAAAATATTGCCAGAAAAACTTACCCAGCAATTTCATCAAGCTATCGGGCTATTTTACAGATAGGAATACCAGTAACATTTCAGATCACATCTCAGTTTGAAAACTGCATAAGGTAATAACACTGTAGTAGCGGTAAATGCTCAGGATTATCAGTGAGGTATGTTTATCTGCTGATAATCTCTCACTCAGTGAAGAAGTGCACATAAAGCACTTTCACTTTAAACCTGTTTTCACAAAAGCCACTATCATAAGAGCTTAGAGCAACCTTCAACAAAGTTTTTACCTTTAAGTATCCCTTGAAATAATTTTCAGATTTCAAGGAACCTGTATATAAAAATTACAAAAATTTCACAACATAATTTACTTCTAATTTATACAATCCATAGTAAATTGACAGGTCAGTCACTGAATTGTAGCATGTAAAAATTCACACCACTGCAAACACTGGCACTGCATGGCCTACGAAGTTCAAAAACTGATGTTTATTTATTTTAATAAAGACCTTTCTCAGAAATCTCTTGCAGAACCTTAGAGTTCTGTGGAGCCCCAGTTGAGAAAGGCAGAGTTTATAAGGAAATGTATACTGTATGGTGCAATTTTGATTTTAAATAAATAAGCCATCATAATATGTTATTGAATATATACGTACTCTATTGATCTAAAAATCTTCAGCATCAGAATGACATCTACTTTTGTTTACTATTACCATGCCCATTACTTACTAATTTAAGGTAAAGTTCATACTTCTATAAATTTTATAAGATTCAAGCATTAAGATTATTTGTTTTATTAATATTCTGCATTTATTATTTTTATGGTATTTTATAAAGCAAGTCAAGTTCTTCCACCAATTTTCTGCACAACAACCCTGTGAGGTGAGGTGAGGTGAGGTGAAAGAGAGTGACTGGCCCAAAGTCACCCAGTTGACTTTCATGATGTCAGAACTTGAATTCATAGTCTTCTGGCTTCTAGCCTGCCAATTAAACACATTATTCTAATAATACAGCAATGTAAATCTTAAATTTTAATTTATAGATTTTATTCTAATTTATTCCCAAGAATCTGGTTATGTGAACTTTTTTTCTTTTTGCACATAAAGTACTGAAAGTTAATAAGTAGCTTGGCCAAGCATCTAAGTAGCTGTACAACTTGAACTTTCTCTCCAAGATCTAGATCTGATTTACTGTGCCATAATAGTATGTTTACACCTTTATCTGATAGACGTCATGCATCTAGTCCTCTTTTATTTCATTTCCTACTATTCATGGATTAAATGTATTCTTACCCATTCGAATAATCTATGTTAAGTAGTAATTGCACACATTTTTAGAAAAGCATCCTTAATGCCATCATGTTTATTTTGAAAGAAAAGCAGCCGATCAGCAGCTGTTGCTGGTGAGGCGACTTGATTAAACACAAACAATAAATAGTAACATATCCTGTCTCTACAATGCCACCAGATACTGAAAAGCAGCAAAGGGAACACTGAGCTCTGCTGTTTGGGTACAGCAAGCAAATTTGCAGCTGCTATTTCCTCCTTGTACTCATTTTCTGGAGACAGATAGGACGGCTGTGCTCACAGATGAATCATCTGCAATTTCATTCATTTTCTCTTTCTCCCTGAATCTTGGATCCCCACCATGGCATCTAAAGTTGCTATCATAGCCATGAAACCATTTTCAGGGTTCTGACACTTTCTTCTTTCTGTAAATAAAAAGACAACGTAGTTGACCTTCTGTTATGGTAGAGTTATGAAGGACTAATTAATATGACCCTGTAGAATCTACTTCTGTTGTAAATCTTGCCTTAAAGTCTTGACTTTAACTTAAGTAAGTTCTCTAGGGCAATGCTTCCTAAAGTCTAGCAATGATCAGCAGATTGTTTCAACTGCAGTGATTCATTGGCCTAAACATGAAGCCAAGATGATTAGAGATTTCCATCCAAAATGAAGGGAAATGGTTGGTATATAACAACAACAACAAAAGTTAGCACAGATTCTCTATGGCTGTGATCAAACATATCTGATTATAAGTTACTTATTACTGAATTGGCTGGTTTATACTACATTATAAATCTCGAATTACAAACAACACTAGCTGGGTTCTGACATCCTAAGCTAAAACAACCAAAGTGCACTTTTGGCTTAGAGCATTCTGAGAATTCTGGGAGTTTAAGTCCACAAGTCTTAAAATTGCCAAGGTTGGAGACCCCTGGCTATATCAGGGAGTATTTTGTCTTTAAGTAACACCTGCATTCAGCAAAGCTATCTAGAATAATTCTAGCAGAAGCAGCAGCTAACATCTACATGATCATATATTATTTTCAGTGCATTTGACTGCCCTTGTCTCTGGAATCTCCCCACCACATACGCACCTCTGTATTATATCCTGCATAGCACCTAGCACTTCTCTATGTCACTCAGGTTCCTTACACAAAGTACACAATAGCACCCAAGGCCTGGAAACCAAGTAAAGCCCTATTCCAGCAAAACAATTGATGGTTCTGACAAGAGGATTTGCATCATTTACTGTATTCAAATCACAGGGGCGGTTTGTTCAGAACAGCCCAGTAACAGTAATATGGACTTATATTCTTTTTTTTTTTCTCCCGGAGGTCGGCACTCCACTTTCGCCTACCTTTCTTAACAGGATTTGCCCATTTCGTAACTTTGGCGGCTGCAGTGATTACCTACACAACACTCTACTGAAATTGCGACTGAGGTCGAAAACGATTACCAGAGCTCAGAAATCATCCGGACGTGGGACTAGTCAATTTCTTTTCCTTTACCCCTTCACTGCAAGTTAAAAGTACTTATCCGTTCTCTTCCTGACCCTCTACTGTCACCCGTTCAGCTGAGGTCGTAGGTCTCCAGTTTTTCCAAGAGATACTCGAAATGCACGAAATCTCCGAAGTGTCTCTATTTTTTCGTCCCGGGCCGCTCCCTCTTTTCCCTTCCAGCTTTTTCCGCGCTTCGGGCCGCCCGCCCGCCCGCCCGCCAACGCCAACCCGATCCAACGAAAACCCAGCACAGTTCTAGCCAGATTCCGGATAAGAAAGGAGAGTTGGCTTTTTCGGCGCCACTTTCCTCCTCTGTTATTCGAGAGCAACAATTACTACCCAACAGGGGACGCTGGGGCTAGAGACAGCCGTGGCAGGAGCTTTCGCACCTACCCGCCGCCGAGGCGATTCCCTCGCCCATTCTAAGGCTCTCTTCAGCTTCGACCCTCCTCCTTCCTCCACCCTCTGGCCGCGAGAGGCTCGGCTTCTTTTCCCGTCCCTTCCGCGCTACGAAAGGGGCGCCCACAGAGCGCACAGCAGTGGAGATGGGGAGGGGAGGAGGCGGTGGTATTTCCCTGCCAAGAGGGCAGAGACTCATTTGAGCACCAGCCCCCGCGGCTCCCGCCTGGGATTGTTTTTCTGCGTCCCGTCAAGTCTGATCTTTGCTTGTCCTGCCTGAGAAGAGCCGCAGTCAATCGCCTCTGAGGGTCCTGGGATTTAGGGAGGGAATTCTTGTGAAGTTCGGTTTGAGGAGGAGGTTTTAAACAAAAGACCAACGCCCTTGACATTAACAGAAACGTTGATCTCATCTTTGGCCTTGCTATGTTGCAGTGGAAAGTATTAAACGTTCTTGAAAGATTAAGAAACCAGAAAGGAAAAAGAAAATGATGTCTTTATTCTCCACTTTTAAACCACACGATTGTGGTGCAATGAGCCAAGATTGTGGAACCCTTAGGTCTGAAATTTCTGAAATGCCAGCTGCATTTTCCTGTCTCTGATTCCAAAGCTCCAGGGCTCTTCTCTTACAAAGTCCTTATGTCTCACTTTCTTTGGCTCATAGTTACTCCTACCGCACCCATCTTGTGCATTCATCAGCTTCATCCCTACAGGCTGAAGTTGGCTCCTAGTTCTTTATTCCATTCAACAAAGCCATAAGTACAAAGTTGAGCAAATAATGTGAACAATGGTATATGCAAAAATAAAATTTGGACTGATTCATGTATTACATCCAGGCTATCTTTTGGAGATTCCCTTATAACATACCAGGCTGATTTTATGAAAAGTGCTCAAATAAATTGCTAGGATGAATCCAATTATTCAGAAGGATTTTGAGGCACAGGTATTTAACATCCTCAGAACTTAAAACCACTACAAGACCATGTCATGGTTTCCTTTGACTGTTAGAAACAAAGAAACAGTATGTCAGAGAGAAACACTGTAACTCAGGGACTCTTCTGTTTCATCCAGTTCACTATTTTCTATTAACTGAGGACCTTTCTCCACTGCTAAAAATGAAAGTGCTATCCACAATCTTTGAATTTACTATTCTTTGAATCTACAAAATAGTTGATTCTATTGCCTCTTTCTCACTATTGAATAGTGCTGTCCTGATTTTGCATGTCCAGCACATAATAGCGATTGGTTAGTTCCTCCTGTTTTGCTATCCTTCATCTTTTGCATCCAGCTCTTTAGGGATATGAATAGAATGACAGCAATTGAGCTAATGTGGGATCTCTGTTGTCAACCCATTTTCCCTAAACAGTCCCATACAAATTGTTTTCCAGGTAGATATAATAAATACATTCCCCAATAACCATCAATCTTAAGAAAATCCAATTCATCAATTCTGTTAACTCCAGATCTATAGAATTTGTATCTCCTTCAGCCTTCTCAAATGAATCTGCAGTTTCAAAACCAAATTCCTTCTCCTTTAAATTAGCCAACAGCAATTTAGATTCCAATCCATCCAGTTTTGAGTTTGATTTGGCTACAGTTGCCTGAATATCCTCTTTAGGCTGATTTAAAACTCTTGGTTTTTTATCAAACTTTTTTTGAAGTTTTCAATTTGAACTTGTAGGTTAAAAAGCATTCCCCTCCCCCACAAGTCTTCTTAGAGGACTTTATTTTTACAGTTTGCATTTTTAATATAATCCTGTAACTGGGCATTCACAACCAGACATAAACAGTTCCTTTCCAGGACAGGGGAGTTACCGACTTCCATATGGAGAAATATAACATCTCACTTACAGTATGTCCTTTTATATATCACATACTTACTATCTGCAGCAAGTATAGGATTAGCTTGTTAGAGTAAGAACCAGAGCTTTGGCAGAAAAGCTACTATGTTGCCTTTCAAGGAATATGTGCATGATATTTTCATACCTTGAAGGATACCTCACTCTGCCCCCCAGCGTTATCTTGTTTTCTTATCAGTTATAAAACAATTACACATGTTCAAACGGTCTTTGATCAACAGTCTATATAAAAGCTTGGATGAGGTGATGCATCCATTCTGGTAGTCCTTCATCTCTCAGTGGCTTTTGATACCATACACAGTATTCTTCTGGACTGTTGGGAGGGTTGGGGGTGGAAGGCACTGTGTTGTACTGTTTCACTTCCTTCCTCAGAATTTGATTTCAATTGGTGTTGATAGTGGAGGGGAGTTGTGCTTGTGGTCCCTTGTTTATGGGATGCATCAGGAGTTGACACTCTTCCTTTTCCAATGTAATATCTATATGAAACTAATGGCTAAGGGTTTTAATATCATCAGTATACTAGTGATATCAAACTTTATAGCCCACCCCTGTGCAGGTGAAGGTGTTGAGCTATTAATCAATGTCTGAAGGCTGTTCAAGTCTGGATGGGGCAAAACATCGCAATCCTTTCCAATCTTAGTGGCTGTGATGGTTTGGAGCAGGTTTCAGTTGTGACCAAGGCGGACTTTGAATAATCATCAAATATACCTGAAGTGGGTATACTCAAGATTTCTTCTATTAAATATGATCATCCTACAGGACTTCTGCTGCCATGAACTCACTGTATAAATGAGCCATCTTCCTCTCAGCATGACTGTGGAGTCCCACATCAAACTATGGATCACATTGTGACTGGCTGTAAGCTGAGGGCATATACTGGTCAAGTACCTGATTTTTTTCATATAAATGATGCTTCATGTCAATGGTTAGATGGCCCAGATATTGGTATCTGAATACATACATGTGTGTATGTGATTTTTATTGTTTTTTTAATCTAGGAAAATTGTTAATATATGTTGCAAGTCTAAATAAATAAGCGTGTGTTCTCTGTTATGGCCTTTCTGGAACAGCATCCCCAGAGATATGGACATTCCTAGGATTCTAAAAAGTACTTTAAAAACTGGCTTTGCTCTCAGACCTTCAGTTAATATATTTGTATGGCCTCTATTTGGTTTGATTTGTTACTGTTTATTGTTTTAGTCCAGACTACTTGTGCACTTGTATGTTTTAAACTGTTATTGTTTTATATTTGTAAACTAATTAGATTCTGTGGGAGTGGAAAGCTATAATAAATTAATACTTTTATTATTTTATGTTCTTGCTCCTGAAACATTTGGATACAGCAGACTAGTATAGCGTCACAGCTTTGGAAAATAAAACAATTGTTTAAACACTCTTTTTTGGTATTTTTGTGTAGATTTTCTACCATACGTGCTCTGCAAATAACACATCAGAGCACCACCATTTATCACAAGCCAGAATAAAGGCAGAATAGAGATCAGCACACAAGGGACAACTATAGGGAGTCAAAGAGATTATTTTGGAGAATCTAGAGACAATTATAACATATGCAAAAAAAGATGTTAAGCCTGAGAAACAGTGAGAGTATCAAGGAGAGACTACCTCCTTCCTGCCTCTCTAGGTATAAAAGGGACAAAAAGAAAAATGCACTCAGGCTTGCAAGATTCTATTATGACAGATTATCTCAATAAACTATAGTTCTTGTCATCCTCTGGAATCTGTTTCTTGATCTATCAACCTTGAAGGGCTAATAATAGCACATTTTAAGGTGGTATAGTTTTCTGATTAGGATGAGAGTAGAGAGCTGTAGAAAGCCCTTAATTTGTAAAGGTGATGTATTGAACAACCACTGCCATTGTGAGGCATTCTCTTACTGCTGTTTTAGCACATATTTAAAAAATGTGGTTTGATACTTTCAACCTCCTGTGTTCCATCCCACTGCAATGTTAAACTTTGTTTCTAAATACTTTTAACATAATTACACATCCGCGATGTGCAATTTTTCCTCATGCGTTAGAAGTGTATGTCTGTAAAACATAATTGTCACTAGATGGCGTAACAGCATTAAGCAGCCGAATTCCTTATCGGTTTCCCCCATTCACTTTGCCAAGGACAAATTCTGACAGGTGGTTTTACCGTTACGCATGCGCACGCTGGCCTCCACTCCCATTGGCTCAACGCCCAAACACCCAAAAGGCGAGTTGGCGCATCCCGTTTCACGTTTTCTTTTCATCCTGATGTTCTGTAAGCAGGTGAGAGTAAATTACCTACTTCCGGAAATAATCCCTCCCTCCCTCCCTCCAACAAGTCCTCGTCACGCATGCGTGTTGCTCGCTGCCGGAGAAACTGTGTTTTTTTTTTTCCTCCCCCCCTCCCCTTCCCATTCGCTATTTCAACTGACGGGATGTAGTTGCTTCCTTCCTTCCTTCCTTCCTTGTATCTCCCCCGGCGATGTGGGTGCGCTTGGAGGAGGCGGCAGCAGCAGCAAGAGCAGCATTAACAGTCATCGCAGCGGTCCTGGCACGAGCTCTTGCGTGGGGTTGAACGGCTAGTGCCGTTGGCGTGCGTCAAGATGGCGTGTGTGCTGGAGACGCCACTCCGCATGAGTATCCTGTCGGTAAGTGCAGGCCCGGACCAGCAACGGCAAAGGCTCTAGCGCTTCTGCTTCCTGGTGAAGGAAGTCAGCCGCATTAGGGCTTCCGTTTGGCGGTCTTTTTTCTCTCTCAACTGGGCTGGGGGAAGTGCGGTTGATCCTCTTGTGTCCAGCTGGGCGAGTGAAGGGCTATTACCTTTCTTAGGTTGTTCATAGCGAGTCCCGCCCTCCTGGAAGCTTACCTTGTTTTTTTTTTCTTTCCCTTGCAGCTACGATAGGAGTAGGAGAGCCTTGGCTGCTTTTTTTTTTTCCGCTTTGAGGTGGGCTTGAGATTTGGGGATGTCCAACTGCTGGATTTTTTTTCTCTGGAGGAAATAAAATAAAATAACCCCCGCTGCGTTATTTTCTGCGTTAAGATATCACGGGGATAAGAGCAGTAGCTCTCGTCTTGTATCCATAAATTTGGAGGGAATTTTTCTGTTGCATTTTTCTTCTCTATTAGTTTTGTGCACTAAAAAAAATCTGCCAGTTTTTTTCCTTCATAGAAGTTCAGATTATTTTTTTTATTAGAGTGGACAAAACGTGTATAAGTAATGGATTTAGTTTTAGATTTAATTTTTTAAATGCCTGATTTATTTCCTAATGTTGAATCTGAACACAATTAGAGTAGCATTCTGCAAAGCAGATTTCTTTTCCTTTAATAGACATTTAGAAAAAAAGTTAAAGCAGTTGCAAGTTCCACCTGCTGTAGTTTCCTATTTTGTGCAGCTGTTAATTATACAGTTTTTTTATAGCAGGTTACAGTGAAGTTGCATTGAGTTGTTTTTAATATGGACACACACACACACACTGAGTATCAGCACTAAAATGTATATTCCTTTCTGATACAAGTAGTCACATAAAATAAACTCCTCTAGCCAGTCTATTTGTGTGTGTGTTAACGTTGGATTCCCACTTTCTATAGTTGGGTTGGGAGGAGATGATTATGCTGTTATAGCTACTTCAGTATCACTTATGCTGAAATGTATCTGTGTAAAGAACATTTAAGGAATATGTTTTTTTAAATATGATTTTGTTGGGATTCTGTCTTTGCAAAATCTATTGCCTTGTAAGTTGGATATATTCCAGTAGTTTGGAAGGGCTGTAGGAGACATGGAAATACTGTTTTTGTGTATTGTTTTTACACTTAACATCCATTGAAGAAAGAAAGAAAAAAGTTTGCACTATGAACAATATTTCTGCAGCAAACCAGTGTTTTGTGTATATATATATATATATATATATATGTGTGTGTGTGTATGATTGTGGAATTGTTCCTTGTGTTAAAAATTTGTAGGCAAGTTTCTAAATATGGGGAACTCTAAGGCAAACTTGATTTAATGAACTGATATCTGGAATGAGTTTTATTATTCTTGATCATCGATGAAACAGTATATCGTTCATATTGAAATCATTATTTAAATCATATCATTTGCATATTTTTATATTTCTACCTATAGAAGCAGAATGATTAAAGTTTGATTTATCTCTGATATGGATTTGGCAACATCCCTATAAGAAGCTGTCTTAAATTCCTAAATAATAAATCCCTAAATAATAATTTAGCATTAAGTGCTAAAATACTAGCTTTATTGAAAAAAATATTTCAAATCTATAATGGCAGTAGTTGAATATTGTAATGCAGTGGATAATACACTTGACTGATATAGCATAATAACTTCAAAAGCTCCCCATAATCACTTTTTCTTAAGTTTTTGCGGGTACTTACATGTATGGTATTCAGCTTTGTTCGGGTATTTTCCCACGTTCATCTGTGAGTCAGACTTTTATAGTGGTTTCAGATTTAAATTTGGGGCAGCCTATTGCTGTGCCAGAATGAACACTATACAGAAGCCTGATGATGGCAGATGAGATTCTGCCGAAACGTTGCTACAACTTTAAAAGCACAACTAAAATGACGTGGGAAAATACCCGAACAAAGCTGAATACCATACAAATATATATATATATGATGTATATATATCAGGCAAAGGAAAAAATCAAGAATCTGGTCCTGTGTTGAAGAAATAAAGGAATTACTGATTGGAAAATTATAAATTAGCAGATTAAATTCTACCCAAACAGAGTGGCTATTGATTTGGAAGCTGATTGAGTCTAGAGATAGTTTCTTTGTTTTTTGTTTACTCTGGATGAGATATATCGCCAGATGACCTACAATTTGGAGTCATTCTAGACTCAGGAGTCATGGTTGAACAGCAGATAGAGGCTGCAGCCATGATAGTCTTTCCACAATTATATATTGAATGCCATATATGTCCTTTCTGGATCAGGAAGCTTTACTTTCAGTCACTCATGATCTTGTCGCCTTTAGGTAGATCACTATAATGCACTATTACAAATAAATATTACTGCTTCATAGTCTTGCTTTCTTGAATTTGTAAAAATGTATATCGCTGATAGACCTCAAATGTCTTTGCTTACAGGAAGTTACAGCAAGTAGTCGCCATTATGTTGACAGATTATTTGATCCTGATCCTCAAAAAGTACTTCAGGGTGTCATGTAAGTAGCACAAACTTTTTTCTTATTGTGTCTTTAAATTCTTAGCTGTGTTTGAATCATTTTCTGGTCTGTGTCATTGTTTTGGTAAGGTGAAGAAGCATTAATTCTGAATAGGGCAAATAAAGACAGCAAGGATAAAAAACATGTTCCAGTGTGCTTTTGTATTTTTGTATTGTACTTGAGAGAGAAGCAATTGGAATATACAAATCAGGGTTAATTAACTTGGTTAAGCGGTAGTTAAAAATACAATTAAAAGAGAATTTTTACTTTGGCCCTATTTTGTGTTTAATATAGACAGGTGCATAGATTTCTTTTTAAATATAAAATATGTAAACATTTATTGGCTATATGAGAATATCTAGGATTGGTTTCTGCTGCAGTTGATAACTTTAGGTTAACATAGTAAGGTAACTGGGCAATTCATAGGGTATTCTGTTTGTATTTACCCATTTTCTGACAGTTTTCCTTTACAGAGGAAAATACGCTGGTTCTCTTTTTGGATAAAAATGAATATTTTTTTTTCTGGAAATCAGATACTGAGTTGATGTTCCAGTATTGTATAAACGTTCCATTAATTACTCCAAAAGAATTATTGGCTTCTCATACGTGAAACAGCTACAAGAAATCCCTTACTATATCAGTGAATTCCATATACTTTGACAATAATTGCCTATTACAAACTCATGTTGAAAACCCTATAAATTTTTAACGAAACCATATGATTTATTTTCCAATTCCCAAACATGTATTTCCAACAAGAAGAGGATTGTCACCTACCCTAATGTTGTGTTTTATAGTCTATATGCATGGATATGGATATATGGTGTAGAGACCTACGCTATTAGAATTTCTCATGGGGATATTACATTGGAATTTCTATCTCCCAGAGAGGAATCTGGGAAAAAGAATCTCAGTGAACAAAAGTAGAAGGGGTTTTAGTTCTGAATAAGTAATTACTTCAAAGAAGATGACCTATGAGCTTTGTTTCATAATACTTTTGGCATAGTTGAATTGCAGAAGAACCAGCTATTTCATTAATATTGTCGCTATGTCCAGTGTTTTATAGTATAAAAAATGAAGCCATTATTCTAAGGTAAAGGGAATCATTTTTTTAAAAAAAATCTTTCCTAAGAAACTTGGAATTAGCATTGGGCTAACTGTAGTCATCTTTAAGATTACTTTCAACTTTCATAACTTGTACTGACATATTTGCAATAGATCTCTAATATTTTGAGTGTATTCTATTCCCAATATCAATTCCCAAAATCATTTCAGAAATTATACAGTTTGCCCATGTACAGTGGGCAACTGGCACAATATTTTCTAACTTGGAAAATGTTTTGTTTGAGAGTCTGATTACGCCTGATTTATTTAAAAAACTAATAAATGAGTTATACATAGTTGGAGAGAACTAACACAAGGAAGAATTAATAATGGAATTATACTGGGAATGATATTTTAGCTTTATCCCAACATTCTTTCAATAAGTTAAAGGCAGTATATGTGGCTCAAAACAAAAACAATTGAAGATAAAAGATAAGAGTTTCCCCAGTTCAACCATGTCCAAATCTATGGGGCAGTGCTCATCTTCATTTCTTAGCTGAGGGATCCAGCATTGTTGAAGACGTTTCTGTGGTCGTGAACTGTATGTTGAAGTACATGGATCACTGTTATTTTCGCATCAAAGTGGTACCTATTTATTTGCATTTGCATGCTTTCAAACTGCTAGGTTGGCAGGAGCTGGAGCAAGTACTTATTAAGGTTATCTTTATTAATTCAACATCACTCACTGAATTTTGTGGCTATGTGGGAATTTGAATTCTAAATCTCAGAATCTAGGCAATTGGCAGATGACCTGAATGTGCTGTTCTGTAGGCTTGAGAGGAAATCACTGTCAACTCCCCATCTCAGAAACACCAATAGCCAGATTTCCTACACCTATCTCCATCTCTCTGGACATCCCACCACTGGTGATCCTAGGAAAAAATGTATGAGATCTATTTTATGGACCAAGGGTCTCCAACACCCAGGCCATGGCCCATTAGCAGTCCGTGGCTTGTGGGGAGATGTGCTGCACAAGCAGTGGGCAAGCTTGTGAAGCACTATTTGTGCATGCATAGGATGAGGTTGTGTGAATGCAACCATGCTCTATCCCCCACTACTGCCACCGCCAATCACAGACCCAAAACGGTTGGGGACTGCTGTTTTGTCTATAACAGCAGTCTCCAACCTTTTTGGTTGGGAAAGCACCAGGCCCAGATGGAGGAACTACTTCTTGCTTGAAAGTCTGTGCTGATCAATTGGCTCCAATCTTCATCTGCATCTTTAATAAATCACTGGAGATGTGTTATATTCCTTTTTGCTTCGAATGCTCTACAATCATCCTGGTTCCCAAGAAACCTTCCATCTTGGGATAACAATAGACCAGATGCTCTGATATCTGTAATTATGAAAACCTTTGAAAGGTTAGTGCTGGCACACCTGAAAATCATCACAGATCCAATCCACTGTTAGACCTCTTGCAGTTTGCCTATCGTGCAAATAGATTGGCAGATGATGCTGTCAATATGGCACTGCATACATCTTGCAACATCTTATATCCCCAGTGACTTATGCATGGGTAATCTTTATAGACTTCAGCTCAGCATTCATTACCACCATTCCAAAAATTCTTAACTCTAAACTGATTCAGCTAGCTTTGCCTGTCCATACTTTTAGGTGGATTATAAGCTTTCTGACAAAGCAACAGGTGAAGCTAGGGAAAATCACATTGAATACCCAAACAATTAGTATAGGCTCCCTCAGGGCTGTGTGCTCTCTCCATTTCTCTTCTCTATACAAATGACTGCATCTCAAAGGATGCTCAAAGGATGCAAAAGATTATCTCATTTAAAGTACTGACGTTTGCAGATGGTACCACAGTCATTGGTTTCATTTGAGATGGTGATGAGTCTGCATATCAACAGGAGACTGAACAACTATCCCTGTGGTACAGCCAGAACATTCTGGAGCTGAACACACTTAAAGCTGTAGCAATATTAGTGGAATTTAGGACACATCTACTCTACCACCTCTTATTACATTACATAGTATCAACAGTATCAACCCAGGGTTTTGAAATGGAAACATAACATTAGAACTATCATTAAAAAGGCACAATAAAGAATGTTCTTCCTGTGTCAACTCAGAAAGTTCAGATTGCCCCAGAAGCTATTAATTATGCAGAGGAATTATTGAGTCTGTCATTTGTACTTCTATAACCAACTGGTTTAATACAGCAACCAAACAGGACAGAGACAGACTTTGGTGGTTAGTAGGAAATGCAGAAAAAACAATTGCAACCAGCATGCTTTCCATTGAGGACCTCTACATTACATGGATCAGGAGGTCTGAGAAAATATCTACAGACCCCTCACATCCTGGACATAAACTCTTTCAACTCCTCAGGATGCTGCTACAGGGCATTGCACGCCAAAACAATTAGACACAGAAACAGTTTTTCCCTCATGCCATCATTCTGATGAACACCTAATTCCCACAGTATTGTCTTATGTACCCATGTAGTCTGGCCTTATTACGATTTTCCTTCTCATATTGTCTATTACCTTCTATTATTGGTATCATTATTGTGATTATTATTACTGTGTTTTGTACATTGAGAGCTCCTGCACTGGAGACAAATTCCTTGTGAGTCTAATAACATTTGGCCAAATTAAGTATCTTTTCTTTTCTCTAATTAATTTTTATAATTAGACATACTGTGGTATAATTACATGAGATAATTTCTGTTGCTCAGTATTACTTAGCACACCCACTCCTTATTGTATATTATCTTTATCATATCTGATTTCATTTGTAAACATGGTAGGCCTTGCTAATCAGCCTTAAAATGCAGTTGTCATTAACCTCTTTGAGTCTGAATATAAATTCTGTTTTGAAACAATTTATTTTGATAGGACCATTCATTGTTGAGAACAGTGTGTAAAACAATTATTGTACTCCTGTAAGTATCACCTACAAAATATTACATATGCTTCATATAAGGAAAATTTAATTTAAAGATGTCCAAAGTGTGTGATTTACAAATCTATATTCTAGCAGAGGTAGTTCTCAACTTACGACCACAAGTGAGCCCAAAATTTCTATTTTTCATAAGGCAGTTGTTAAGAGAGGTTTGCCCCATTTTGCTAAAATTGTTAAGCAGATGTGTGCAATTGGGAATTGAATTGTGTTGTCATTAAGATAATAAACCTATTGACTTTGCCTGACAGTCAGTGCAGACAGTCACCTATCCTACACACGTCAGTTGCCCAACACCTGTTTTGATCATGTAACTATGGGGATACTGCAATGGTCGTAAGTGTGAAAAACAATCATAAGTCACTTTTTTCAGTGCTGTTGTAACTTCAAATGGTGACTAAATGAATGGTTGTAAACAAGGACCATTTGTACTAGAAACCCACAATTAGTTTTTATGGAATCCTTTTCTATTTTGATTACTGTAACACACAAGTAGTCCTCAACATTTGACCCTAATGGAGCTTATACATTATGTGGTATGTTGTGAAAGTCATAAAATGGGTTGGTCATGTGATTGACCTGATTTGACCTCTTTTTACCAACAAGCATTACGTAACTGCTGGAGTTGTTAACCGAACACCATGGCTGTTAAAGCAAGCCAGTGGTTTGCTATGGGTGTGATTTTATAGAAAACTGGAAATAAGGCCTAGTTTTCAAGAAAACTTTTATAAAACCTGACTGCAGGATGTAGCAAATGCAGCCATGTTGCCAAGCAACAAGTTGGCAAGAGGTTTGGCCATGTTCTAAGTTGAGTCACATGCAATGTAATATTATTATGTTTGTTATTTGTTATTGTTTTTTTCTGGAATTCTTAACATTATTTGCTGCTGCTGCTGGCTTCTATTGGTATCTAGTATTTTGAAACCTTTCATATTTAATATTTAATGTAAATGATACTTCCATAATAATACCAGTAGTCCTCAACTTACAACCATCCTTAGCTTATCAGCATTATTGAGTCCAGATTTTTGTTGCCAAGTCAGACTTCTGTTAACTGAGTTTTGCCCCATTTTACGAACTTTCTTGCCACAGTTAAGTGAATCACTGCAATTACTAAATTAATAACATGGTTGTTTAATAAATCTGGATACCCCATTGACTTTGCTTTCAGAAGGCCACAAAAGGTAATCATCACATGACCCTGGGTCATTGCAACTGTTATAAATAAAACCAGTTGCCAAGTATCTAAATTTTGATCACATGACCATGGGGATACTGCAATTGTCGTAAGTGTGAAACACGGTCATAAGCCACTTTTTTCAGTGCTGTTGTAACTTCGAGCAATCACTAAATGAACTGTTGTAAGTTGAGGACTGCCTGTAATTGGTCTATTATGAACTAAGCTGTGAGATTGTAACTACGGAGAGCATATGGAGATAAAAGAGTGAAGCAAGGAGAAGCCTGCCTTTTACTTTCACCATAGATAGAAATTGACATACTTTCACTTTCTCATCATGACAGTCAGAAGAAAAGCTGCTAAATTAGGACACAACGAATCATTAGAACAATTTGCAGATAAGATTATTACCTTAGGGGTCCTGCAGAAAACGTTTGAGGACTTCACTGAAAGAGAATTGTCACTATTGGGGAGAATCTTGGATAAAAATGAATCTTTTGCCACAATGGATTTATTTCAGAGATTACCTGTTTAAATGTACCATTTAAACAATGGCAAAAATATATCTAAATTTTATATAGCTAGAGAAAAAAAGTTAAACTCAAATATAAAGTGTTGCAAGATGCAAAGGAAAGAAAACTGGATTTATCAGATTTGAAAATGTATTATACTGCTCGTTGTTTTGATCTGGATGAAAGAATGGATATTGCTGAGAAACAAGACTTTTACAGTTAGCTGACAACCTGATGTTTTGATGACATCTATCTTTATGGTGTGATAAAGTTTAATGTAAACTTTAAATTTTTTTATTAGATATGTGATATTGAGAATATGGAATATATATAAACTCAGTTGATACCCAAAAACACATTTATGGATCCCAGCTCAAAACTCGTATCATAGAAGAGAACTGGCAGACTTGGAAATTTTAACTACTTGATGTATTGGGACTTTTTGGAAAACAATCAAAGGGAATTTAAAATCAAATCAATAGAGCAATTAATAACAAAAGAATATAGTTGTCAGTGGTTTTTCTATTTATAGCTGTCAGAAAGATTTAAAATATATGGCTAAAGGGATTGAAATTTACATTGTGTTGTGATCCCAAAGAGAAATTTTATAAAAAGATGTATTATTGGTACATGATGCCAAAGTATGTATAAAGATTGTATGAAGGCACTTCAAATGTATGTTGGAAATGTGAACAATAGGAAGGGACATTTTATAATGGTGGGTGGGCATATATAAATGATAAACAATTTTATTCAAATGCATATTTTGATATAGAGAATTTTAAAAATCAATGTTCAATTGAAGATAGAATTTTTTCTTTTAGGACTAATGGATAAACATAAAAAACACAATATTATTTCAACATATGATTACTATGGAGAAATTACTGTATACATAATGATGGAAAGAATCAACACTACCTATTATGGAGGAAGGGTTGATGAAGTTGACAGATTTTGTTGAAATGGATAAATTGGTTTCTTTGGTTACAGAAAAGATATCTATATTTATTGGTGATTGGAAGACTCCTATGGAATTTTTGTGTAAATATAAAGCATGATTTATAGACAGGATAGATTATAGAAAGAAAAGTAATATGATGGAACTTTAGAGAGAGTTTAAATATATTAATAAGTGTTGTGAAGAATATTGAAATCCACTTCTTTATATTTTTTCTTTTCTGTTTTTCCTTACTTCTTTTTTGCTCTTTTTATTTTGCATTTGATTTTTTTCTTCCTTACTAATAGTTTGCATTACTTTTTAATTTCTTGTTTAAAGATATCAATAATAATTGCACACACACACAGCACACACACACACACACAAGTCTTCTAGAGCATGACCATCATCCCATGTGCCTAAGCAAGCAGGCACATACAGTACATGGAGCGGCAGCAACATAGGAAGATGCTGGCAGCAGATGATCATGTGACAGTGGCAAAGGCATCAGTTCATAATGCCTAGTAAACCACTCCTGTATTTTTACCAAGAAAATCACATGGATAGAAAATCTAAAATAATTGACAATATGATGGCCTTATCGAGATTCCAGATAGATTGTTGTCTTGAGTCATTCCTAGATGCTTCTGTTCAAATTTAGGGCAAAGAGCCAACAACTTTAGTGGCAAAATCAGCTGTTTGTCAGAAGGAGAGGAAAAATCACCTCAGTGCTCAGCCGCCATTTTGGTGGACCTCAATATTAGTTTTTTTTTCTTTTCTTTTTTTTGTGGAGGCTGTGATGGAATGTTTCATCCATATATCTTTTCCTTATATATGGATGGTATGTAACTTGAAATTAAGAACTTACATTGCATTCCTAACTTGTGTTCCCAGAGGAGTTGAACTTCAAAAAAGGCTATTCAGCATGAGTAACAATGAGAAATTCAGCTAGGGCTGGAGAGGGAAGCAAGTGAAAACACTTTAATTTGAGAATGTGGTTGATTTTTAGCTATTTTTGTTTTGAACTTTGTGAATTGGAAATTTAGGAAGACTTCTGAAGCAAACCAGCAATTACTCAGAAGTACTGACTCATAGGTATTAGTGAGCCCCAGATGAAATGAGCTAAGCTTAATCAGCATTTTCTATTACTTAAGGAAAATAAGCATTTTTGTAACCTTATGTAGATAATCCAGCTACAGTTGGGATAGGCAAATCCTGCGTTTTGGACTATGCTAAAAATGCAAACAATGTATCAACTCAATATTCAATGTTTCATGCAAACTGAATTGTGACTGTTCATTTGCAACAGGAACACCATATTGGTAAACGGTGCTTGATAACTGTTTCTTAGCTATTAGTGCGATTGAAGGTAGCTAAACATATTTAAAATGTCTCTGAACATGGTTTCTTTAGAATTGCATGAAAATTAATATTGGGGTTGCTTCATAAATAGTGTACCGAAACTGGTTTTGGAAAGAAAACAGCTTTCAAATTTGCAAACAATTCATGTGATATCTGGCAGAAGGAGAATAATTGAGTTGTATATATAAGAGTATTTCTTGTTTAGGGTTACGCCCGAATTTAGTTTTTTAATACAAGTAGTCCTTGAATTACGACCACAATTGAGCCCAGTGTTTATGTTGCTAAATGAGAAATTTGTTAAGTGAGTTTTTCGCATTTGACAACTTTTCTTGCCATGTTTGTTAAACGAATCACTGCAGTTGTTAAATTTTGTTTAAATTTTGCAGTTGTTTAAATTTTAAATTAGTAACACAGTTGTTACTAAGTGAATCTCACTTCCCATTGCCTTGCCAGGAGTTCTCAAAATATGATCACATGACTTTGGGACATTACAACCATCATAAATATGAACCAGTTGTCAATCATGCAAATGTAAATTGTGATGCTGTAATAGTCGTAGGTGTGAAAAATGGTCATAAGTCCCTTTTTTCAGTGCCATTGTAACTTCAAATGGTCACTAAGTGAACTGTTGTAAGTCAAGGACTACCTGCAATATTTTTATTGCTTCAAATCTACAAACAGAAGGAAAGGAGGAGCCCAAATAAAAATATTAAAAGGAAATAAAAAAGCAAGAACACATGTCAGTAAAAAAACCCAAAAAATATTGGCCACAAGAGTAAAATTTATCAGACTTTCTACTACTTTGATAAAGGACTATTATGCAGGCATTAAAGCAAATGCATGTCTTCCAACCAGGATTTTAAATCAAACCATAGCATTAGAATCTCTCCATTGGAGTAAAACAGTCTTCCTAAAAGCAGCTGCCAAATGATTAATCTCGATTTCTTTATAATTTGGCAGGTTCACAATTTTTTGTAATATAATTTAACATCACATTGATGTGTTTATTAGGATAATGATTCAACATTTCTTTAATATATTAACTCATTGATTTCTTAAAATCAAATTTTATTGCATTGATTTCCTATTATTAGTCATTTAAAGTTGCCTGAAATATCTCCATATCAATCTTTATACAATTTTCAGTTGTATAAACATTTAACACTAGACATAGGAAAATTCTCTCTAAGAATAAACATTTAGGTGTTTCAGATGTTGCCCATTTAATAAGACTAAATTGTAACATCAAAAGGTGTTATAATTGAATACAATGCCATATGACAGTGTAAAGTAAACCAAATTCAATTTTTAGCCTTTCTTTTTTTGCCTCATATTCAAATGCAGCCACTGTAAGTAGGAATACTGGCCATATTGGGATTCTTATGTTTAATTTTTAAATTTTTTACTTCTAACTCCATCCTAATTTAACACTTTGATACTGCTATCTGATCTATATGCCAGATAGCTTTATAATGAATGATGAAGTGCACCACTTCTGCTGTTTGAGTAGCTGGTATTAGAGAAATGTCAGATATTTATATATTAATAATGGGGATGTTTTTTTCTGTTCAGTGCTTAGATGTAGCAACTAAATGGTGCTACATTCTGCAAAACTGAGCTAGTAGTATCTCAGCATAATTTACTAGGGTTTTTCTCTTTCTGGATTTACAGAGATATGAAAAATGCTGTAATTGGAAACAACAAACAAAAAGCCAACTTGATTGTTTTGGGAGCAGTTCCAAGGTATGTCCTCTGCTACTCTCATTTTCACTGATTCACAGCAGTCTCATTTAGCCATTAAGGACACTTAATTTCCTGACTGTAGCTGACTATTTTTTCTATAGCTGAGATTAGTATATCTGATTTTTTGCTATAAAAATTGTTTGTATGGATACATCTGTGCTGAAAAATTTGGAAAGAATGTTCTGTTTCAAAGCTATGAAAATAGTTCAAAAGTCACTGGTTAATAAAGCTTCTGAAATAAATGTCTAAACCTGTTTCTTCCATGTCTTACTTGCATGAAGATTTCATATAAGAATTTGGGAGGAAAACACTTTTAATTTAAAAAAAGAAGCAATTTATACTTTTCCTTTTTAAATTGTGAAGTTAACTTCTAGGCCTTCTAATTATTAATCTTTTATCACAAATTTCTACAATTTGTTTAGTGTCTAACATGCTGTTACCAAGTTTCTCATAGTAAAAATAAAATATGAATTGTTTCATGTAAATTTGTGGATCTACACCACTTTTTACATGTTCCTCGGACCTTTTGCCATAAAGCTGTCTGAAAATCAATAATCTTGTGACCATTAACAAGACTCATATTCTTCAACACCGTTTTTATTTCATTTATATCCTGTATCTCCATAAGTAAAAGCACTTACTTCAATTCCATTTTTATAATGCTTTCATTCTATTGTTGTTTTTGACCTTAATTTTTTTAATGGAAGAAGCCTTTAGTTCCTCTTGTTAAAACAATGGGCTTCTGAATTAATTGTTGATCTACTGGAAAGCATTCCAGAATCAACCAGTAGAACTTGATCTCTCCCCACCTCCCAGCCTAAAGTTACCCAGCTGGATTTCATATGTAAGGCGGAACTAAAACTCACACTTTTCTGGTTTCTACACTGGTGCTTTAACCACTAGATGACACTGGATCTCACTATATACTACTAACATAAGGTTCTTGTCTATTTCCATCACATATAGCCCTTGTGTTTTGATGAATAATTTAGTGACCATTCACTGTTACGAAGGCACTAAACTAAGGGGACTTATGAAAGGTCCTAGAAGTTCTTGCAGTCGCAGTTTCCCTGACCAGCTTTTACAACTTCCCTGTCATCTTCCCACAAAGTCAATGGAGAAGATACAGGAGGTTCACAAGTTGCCCCCACTGCTCTTTTGCCCACCCAAAACACCCGCATAGTTCACACACTTCATAGTACCTACCCAGCTACCTGCACTCCTTCATGCATGGCCATGGCACCTGCCAGCAGCCCCCCCCCCCCCCAAAAAAAAAATTCTCATCCACAGCACTTGTCTGCTGGCCTACTTGCTTGGGACTCGCTTCTCTTTTTTATGGTCTTATGAGGTTGTCGCTTAAATACTTGTGTGGTCCTGTGGTTGCAACAGCATCTTGGGCTGTTGGGATTGCCATCACTAAGCAATTTGGTCACATGATGTCATGGTTTATGGCCACATTTCTTGACAATGGAAATTCTGGTCCCAATTGCTGTCATAACTTGAGTACTACCTGTTACATGGGCTTCCCCCCTCCATTTGTACCAATATGTTTTTTGCTTTTATCAGCATAATTAAAATGTCAGCATTAATAATTATGAGTAAAGTATATAATAGACCTGGTTTACTCATAATGTGCTCTTCAATTGTTACCTCTAGTGCTCATAGAATCTGAAGGCAAAACAACACTGTTTTGAGATTGAGGTTATGCGATTTGACATATCTTATGGTCCAGATAATCCACAGACCAGATGCAGCTGTCGAAACATTTTTTTGGTCCATTGTCTGGTACTTTCCTTGTTCGTGCCACAGAAATGCAATTTTATTCTGATTTTGGAGAAGAAATAATATAATTATTTGAGCCTTAAAATAGGGTTAAGACCTTAAACTTACATCAACTGCCTCAAAAATTCTGAAAACTTTAAAAAAATTTCTAATTTGCATTTGTTTAAAATTTGCTTTGTCAGATTTTAACATTTTCATAAGCAGAGTAATTATATGGCTACCTACCTGAATGCTTTATTCTTTTACTTAGTAATTTTTAGATAAGACCCCCTTGATTCTTGATTGATTAGAAAGGTGAAACATAAATCTAAGCAAATAAAGACTTATATCAGTCAAATTAATATAACTCTTTAGTGTGATAGAAATATAACACCAATACTTTCAAGCTTTTAAAAATAGATGAGAATTTGAATTATAAAAGAAAAAGATTTCAAGCAAACAGGAGGCATATATCCACTAATTTGATGACCAGAATCTGTTAATATTAATCTACACTGAGAAATGGTAAATTTAATTCTTATTCTTAATATACAAATTCTAGAGTCCTTCAGTATTTCTTGGACTGGAGAGATTCAGATTCTTTTTCCTGTTAGATCATAGAACTCATTGAATGACTTTAGGTTAGTGAAGATAAAATTAAGGCAGACTGTGCTGTATATAATTGGACTCATTCCAACTCAAAACAGGATATACATGCGTTTAATGTAAAAAATCAGTACTCAGTCACCAGTAGGATATACATGTCAAGTTAATTTAGCATTAAGATAGCAATGGACAAAAATGGTTTTAGTTACTGAAAATAAAATTACATACAGAGGCAAATTATTTACTGCAAAGTAGACTAACTAATCTCCCCTCATACTTGAAAAAAAATATGAAAGCAATAATGCTGGAGTTCAAGCTGAGCAACAGTTTGTTACAATAGTATAGTACAAGGAATTGTTTTTGACTCAGACAGTGGTTATTTAGAAATGTAACTTGTATATACCCAAGACTGTGTTGCTGATAAAGTAATTAAGTTGCTTGGTAAAACTTCATTAATGTGCAACTTAGTCCTTTTGATAAACAATATAGGAAGAGGTTAATGATTATTTTTTTTCCCCAAAATATGCTTTATTTGCATTACTAAAGTAAATTTGTTTTGTGATCATGAGGAAGATATTGAAATCACATAAATCAATTAACTTTTTAAATTTATTTATATTATACAGATGAATAATAACGATGAATCAATTGTAGACAAAAATGTCCTCAAAATTTCACTTCCTTGACATTTATAAAATACCAAAGCTCTTCTGGTATATAACTGCAGTTCTATGCATTTTTACTAAGGAGTAAAACAATCCTTGGTAATAGTTTGAGTAAAACAATCAAACTCAAAATTACTTTCTTCTGCATAGACTTGAATGGGTTTGCACTTACATATTTTGTTGAGTTTATATGCCACTCTAATGATGCCTTACAAACTTCCAAAACAGTAACAAGGTTTTAAAAAATGGTATAACAACATAAATAGAAAAAACAATATAATTTCTCAAGTGCCAAGGAGCTACCATAGCCCTTATAGTTAGTTATTCTTCAGGAGAACAAAAACAATCCCTAAAACTCCTGACAATATGTTTCACCTTATCCTATATCCTTTCTTAATTCCTGTATTTAATAATTGAAAAAGGGAGAAGAAAGGGTCCTGTTGTTTATGCTGAAATCCACTTGCATTATTCTTCATGTCTCCTCCAATACCTTGTTCCCTGTTTATCCATGATTCTTAATCTGGTATTCATTCATTGTTTCAGTTTGTATATCACCTATCTCAAATACATGCTTCTGGGCAGGCACAGTAATTAAAACTATTTATTTATTTTATTTGCTGCCTATTCGCCCATGGCGACTCGAGGCGGCTTACACAATATAAAACCATATTTAAAACAAAAAATAAAAATAAAAAACAATAAAAACTAAAGTACAATAGAACAAAAATCTGGAAAAAATTAAAAAAATAAAAAATCAACTCCCAACCCCCAACCCCGACGACAGGAGATCACACTAGCCATTTGATGGGCTCCATCCCGCTCTGGGTTCCCCAGGCCCACTGGCAAAACCAGGTCTTCCGTGCTTTCCAAAAGACTGCTAGAGTGGGGGCCATTCTAATCTCTGGGGGAATGATATTCCAGAGAGAGGGAGTCACCATGGAGAAGGCCCTTCTTTTGGGTCCCACCAGGTATAACTCCCTCAGGGATGGGACCTGCAATATTTCCTGCCTCAAGAAGTCAGTAGAGTCAGGGTGAATCTAATTTTTGAAAGCTGAAATATATGTACTATTGTAGGAGTACCAAAAGCAATAAGCTGAGCCAATTGTCAATTATAATAACCAAAAATTGAAATATCCAACTTTTCCCAACATTGGCAATGTGTTTCCTTCCTATTGTTGAAGAAAAACAAAAAAGGGCAGGAGAGAATCTCTGCTTGATGTTATGAGAAGATGGAAGGCTTAGCTGCTTTTTTTCCTCTCTTAGCAAGCCTCCATACTTGGTGAAGAGAAGAAAAATTTGGCCACTATAATTGGAGAAGAGAGGCAGGTTTGTGGGAGGACAAGGAACTCAAAGCAGTTGAACAGCAACCTCAAGAAGTTTTGTATTTTCCCCTAAGCCTTAAAATACACATACAACTTTGTTTGCTGGGGAGGTTTCAATTGAAATGGTCATGGAGGCAGAGAACCTTGCATCTGGATGGGAGAGGAGTGTGGTATTTGGAATTCTGCATTTACCAAACTTCTTCAGTCATCCTTTCCATCTGAATGACAATATTTTCATAGAAAGTTGCATTGAATTTTCCAGTAGAAAATACCACTTCTCCAAATGAGCTGTTCAGAGCATCCAGGCATGGGAGGTGCTTTTGTTTCTCGTCTGATAGGCTGAGCTGAATTCTGAGGAAATTCCTCTTCCTTGAGGCTCCTCCTTAGTGTCCCCAGTTTTTTGCTCAGCCTTCGTTTTCTCTTTGATGGATTCTCTGAAAGCAGAAAAATACAAAAAAAGGTCAGATCGCAGCTTCTGACTGCAAAAAGAAAGTTGCGACTTTTAAAAACATCAGATATAGCTCCTGACGCCACTTTTAATATTAGCTGGCTGAGTTTTTAAGCCCTCAGCGAGGGCTCCAGTGGCGCTCCTAGCACTCTTAAGCCGGCGCCTGAGCACTTTCCCCTCAAGCTGCCATTACAACCT